GCCGCAGCTCCCGATAATCAGATGGCTGATCTGAAGAATATTTTATCGACATTCATGACCACCAGCCAGGCGAATTTCGCTAGAGTGGACCAAAGCATAGCCTCGTTGGAGGCAGGACAGAGGAACCAGGGTGCTATTCTGCAAGATCTACAGCACCAAGTCGGTGCCCTAGCGCGCCAGCTTACTGCTCGGGCCCCGGGGACGCTACCTGCCACCACCATCCCCAATCCACGGGACCCGCACGAGCAGCTGGATGCCATTTTCACCAGGAGCGGCAGGCCTACATCAGCTGATCCTGCCCCGACCAGGCAGGAGGAACCACTACCATTGCTCTCAAGCCACAACCAGTGGTGAAGGAGCACGTACCCCAGCTTCCCTTTCCCACTCGCCTTCACAAAGACAAGCTGGAGACTGAGTTTGCCAAGTTTATGGCAATGTTGAAGCAGCTCAACATTAGCGTACCATTTGTGGAGGCCCTGTCGAAGATGCCCAAGTACGCGAAGTTCATGAAAGATCTCTGCACCAACAAGAAGAAACTTGGGGATCTCTCGACAGTGCTGCTGAGCGAGGAGTGTTCTGCTGTCCTGCAGAACAAGCTGCCTGAGAAGCGCAAGGATCCAGGGAGTTTTACTATCCCTCTTACTATTGGCAGCATGCATGTAGGCAAGTCCTTGGCGGACCTAGGCGCTAGCATAAACGTCATGCCATATAAGTTGTATAAGAAGCTAGACCTAGGTGAACTTACCCCTACTAGGATGAGCATTCAGTTAGCTGATCGTTCTATCGTGCATCCTAGGGGTATCATAGAGGATCTGCTTGTCAGTGTCGGTGCATTCACATACCCTGTTGATTTTGTTATTCTTGATATACATGAGGATGTGGATGTACCTTTGATTCTGGGTAGGCCATTTCTTGCCACCGCCAAGGCACTTATTGATGTGCATGATGGTAAACTGATCTTGTGTGCTGGGAATGAACATGCTACTTTTTCTGTGACTGAGTTTGATCACTGTGCTCTGATTGCTGTCACGCCTATACATGCTATGTCTGATTAGGTACACGAGCCTGTCGTGTATCCTTCTGCACCTCCTATTTTGCAGGACCCTCCCATCATTCCTTCGCCGCCACTCCATCCGGCCTCGCCTCCGAACAAAAAGCTCAAGGAGGAGTGGCGGCCGAAGCAGCAGGTTGCTACGCCTGCACGGAAGAAGGGTGGAGACCACTACGAGCTGGTTCCACCCCCTGCACCACGACCACCCTGGCCATCCGAGTACTCACTCGCCTGCATCTTGCCGGATGGCCAGGTCGAGTTGACCAATGCTGGTGGCTGCACCCGTCGGGTGCATGGCCACTACCTGAAGCTGTACCTCAAGAGCGACGTGGATCCGCTCTTGGAGGCACCTGTTCCTGCACCTCCCTGAGTATCCACCATGGGCGTCCAGCTAAAAGACGGTAAAGAAGCGCTTGTGGGGAGGCAACCCCACCATGGTTTTCATTTATTTGTTTTGTTTCGAGTCGGATTGCGATTTGGTTTGTTTTCCTTTGTTTTGGATGATGTATTATTGGGCTGACCCTTGGACCTAACATATCGTGTTTGAGCTCTTTGGTTTCCTTTAGCTGTGCCTGTGTTCCCGACTGGTCCTCTCTCCAGTCCGCTTCATCCTGACTGGTCCATTTCCAGTCTTCTGCAGTCCGTGCATACCGGTAACATCGTTCCCCTTTCCTTCCCTCTTCTCCATTGAGGGCAATGTCGATCTTAAGTGTGGGGGGATGTTTATCTTTTGACTGCATTTGATCTGTTTGTGTGCTTGGAGCCTAGTCCACTGTCCAAATTTTTAAATTTGAGGGCTCCAAGTACGTGTTCCTTGCAATTGCCTGCTCAGTATGCTTTGAATTGACAGTCTTTATAGTAATATGCAACCTAGGGAGGTAGTGTAGCACTATGGAGGATGTTGATGCATTTAAGAAGTCTCATTTCTTCTTCATATTGAGTTGGTTGATTGAGTGAATTAGTGACCTTAGGACCCTTGAATTGTGTGGCGTTGTGGATTCTCTGCCTGTCATGGACTCTTGTATCATGTTTTGAAAATAACAGGTGCTCGAAAATGTGCTTTAAAATGACGTCTCCCGTGCGAATAGGGCGGAAGTGTGTAAGGGGAGACGGGAATCCGTTCCCAATTTCCACCTACTACCTCCAGCCCCCTTACATGTCTTTCCCCCGCACGAGACTCGAGACAACTGCTCCTAGCATGGCCGGTAAGAGCCGGGCTCCCGCAAAACCTTTGCTAGGTGGGAGCCCCCGTTTTCTGCAAAAACAGGTTGGAACCCTTGGAAAAAAAAAGAGAAAAACAGAAAAACAAGCAAAAAGAAGAAAGAAAAGGGGTTCCAACCATCTTCAAGAAGAAAATCGAACACCTTGAAAAATGTGAGTCCATGATCTTTTGTTTTTTAGAGTCTCTTCATCCACGATTCATTTGTCCTCTGTTCACTATTTGCCATGATGCCGACTCGAGACTAGCGTTCTTGCCGAAGAGGCTATGAGATGACTTGTGCGTCGGTTGACCTCGTAAGTTGCTAAATGATCTAGGAAGTCCGCTACCTATGATCGAGGTTGTTTGTTGCTATAGAGGTTGGAGAGCTGCATTGGTTTGAGTTAGGTTTGCTTGGGGACAAGCAAACGGTTAAGTGTGGGGGGATTTGATGACTCGATATTTGCACATGTTTTTCCCCTTTGTTTCTTGATCGTTTAAGCTTGCATTATCGCTTCTTTGGCCTATTTTACTAGGTTGTGTTCCTTTGTTACATTTCAGGTCCTAGCACATAAAGTGAAGCATAGGCGCAAGTTTCAAGTCAATCAGAGATCAATTGGCGATTCGGGAGAAGAAACTCTGGCATGACCTGAAGAAGAATGGGTTTTTACCTCCCTTTATGGACAAAGAATCGTGCAAGTCTGTCATGAAAAGAAAGAGGACGAGACTACGAGCGTCTGGGATCAAACGGCGACTGATTCGGAGTCCGGACGAGGGAGAAACGAAGCATTGAATATAGGGGAACAGGTTCGCAGTGAAAACACGGGCTGGAGGCTTTCAGAACACGGCCGTGTTCTGTGACCGTGCTTTTACTGCCGAGAGCTGATTTGAGTTTGGCCAACTCGAGCTGAAAACACGGGCTGAAAGCACGTCCGTGTTCCACCAAAGCACGGGCGTGTTCTCCCAAAAGCACGGCCGTGTTTTCCCCAACTGCTGGCTGTGTAATTAACCCTAGCCAAAGCACAGGCGGGCTGAGGCAAAGCACGGCCGTGCCCTCGACCGTGCTTTGGCCACTGATGCCCTTTTAGGCAGATTTTCAGCCAAAAAGAAGGGGATTCGAGTTTTAGAGAGACAGAGCGATTCCTAGAGAGAGAAAGCGACGAACAAGAGTCTCCAAGTGCCCTAGCTTGATCTTCATCACCATTGGAGTTTGGCTTGAGCTTGGAGAAGTGCCGATTCAACGTCCAGGAGCAGAAATCCATCTTCACAGTATGATTTCCGCATCTGATTCTGCTTTTGCTTCTTTCTCCATGGAGTAGTTCTCCCATTCATCTGGGTGTGGGAAACCCTAGATCTGTATGTTAGGATTGATTGTATGAACCCAAGTACTGTTTCTATGATTTGATTATATTCGATTGAGGTTTGAATGATTGAATGACATGAATCCTGATCAAATTCCTGTTGTTTCTGCTTTAACCTAGAATGAGAATATCTGCCTAGGTTGATAGAGCATCCTTAATTGAAGGTAGCGAATTGGTGACTTTAGTCGAGGAGCCAATTCGCTATTCTGTACCGAATTCCATTCGGTAGTGGAGGTTTGGTTCGTTAGGGCCTCAATATGTTTACTCCGGTGGAGGTTAGTCGCCCGCTAGAGACTCAGATTGAGAGGGTCTGAAGACCTTTAGTCGAGACTTCAAGCTGTTTGAGAACCTTCCGCAGTATAACTATCATATAATTTAACTTGGTAATTACAATCCGGCTTAACTGCAGTCTAGGGGGAACCATATCCGGGTGACCTCTCTTAACCTGAAAACAACCGTTTAGTTGCTTTGCTTGCTTGTTAGTTTAGATCTTCACTAAAGTTTCATTGCTAGATAATATGAATTCACTGAGTAGTCATCACATCTAGGACCCGGGTTGACATTAAAACCCAAACCCGCTATACTACGCTTTAGGAAGTGGTTACACTTGGCCATTTTCTAGAGTGACAGTAGGAGTGAGTCAGAGGGAGAGGGTTTGAAAGTTGGAGAGAGAGGGGAGAATGGCTGACTCGGGTTGAGCTCGGATTTTGGGTTTGAAATTTTGGTTTTTTTTATTTATTTCTGGCCCCACTTCTCCCAAAAGTGGCTCGGCTTGCCCAAAAAAATCTCCCCCCCCCACATCACAGCGCCGGTGATCTCACACCCTCCGACGTGGACCACCATCCGACCCTGTTAACGCTATTGGATAGTGGGAGGTAGAAAAATACGTTGAGGTAGAAGACTACTCCTCTCTTTATTGTTCATTTTGTTTGTGGATAGTAAGTTAGGGTTTCATGGATTTTTTTTGTGGAAATCTGGGTTTTGTTTATGGATTTGAAAATTTATGGTTCATGCGATTCGATTTAGGGTGTTTAGGGTTTTGATTCTAGATTACCATATTTTGTGTCCGTGGGATTCGAATTTGGGGGTTTAAGGATTCGAATTTGGGGGGTCTAGGGTTTCGTTTCTTGATTTGTAGATTTAGGGTTTCATGGATTAGAATATGGGTGTTTAGGGTTTTATTTGTAGATTACCAGATTTTGGGTCTGTGGGATTCGAATTTTGGGGCTCTGATTTTTTTTTCTAGTTACCAGATTTATGGTTTCTCGAATTCCATTTTGGGGGTTTGTTGGATACGATTTTGGGGAATCTAGGTATTGTTTGTTGATTCCTTGATTAAAGGTTACATGGATATCAGTTTGTCACTTCCGATACTTATTCTGGTCATTTTATATATTGTTTCATTATGGTTTCTCGAATTCCATTTTGGGGGTTTATGGGATACGATTTTGTTGAATCTGGGTATCGTTTGTCGATTCCTTGATTAAAGGTTACATGGATATCAGTTTTGTCACTTCTGATACTTATTCTGGTCATTTTTTATATTGTTTCAGTGAATGGGGAGACCGAAAAAGAACTCAAAGCCCAACAATGAGGGAGAAGGATCAACAAAGCAGCCACCGGATGAACAACAACCACAGGTTTCATTTCTCACTCCGTTTCTCGATTGGTTATGTTGGCTAAAAATTACTAGTCCGATGCATTTTAATATTTTCCTTGGCTGGATAGTTTTCTTAATATCTTACTATGTTTCAGGAACAACCCGTGAGGAAGAAATCCAAAACTGTTGCACCAAAATCTGCAGCGAAATCTCGTGAAGCAGCTGGATCATCACAGCAGCCGCCGGATGAACAACCACCAAAGGTTTGATTTCTCACTTCGTTTCTCGATTAGTTATATTGGCTAAAAAAATAATCTGATGTGTCTGATGTGTGGATATCAGTTCTGTTAAGGTGGATACTTAACCGTTGGTTTTAGTTATTTTTCTGGGTATTATGGATATTTTTTTCATGGATATCAGTTATCTCGGTTTGGATACACTTTTGCTTTACTACGATAATAATTGTATGTATTGGCTAAAAAAATCATCTAATGTGTCTGATGTGTGGATATCAGTTCTGTTAGTGTGGATACTTAACTGTTCGTTTTAGTTATTTTTCTGAGTATTATGGATATTTTTTTCAGGGATATCAGTTATCTTCGTTTGGATACAATTTTGCTTTACTACGATAATAATTGTATATAAGTGTGCATTTTAGTTATTTGTCCAAAGATTATGGATATTTTTCTAAATATATAACTGTGTTTCAGGAACAACCCGGGATGAAGAGAACGAAAATGGTTGCATCAAGATCTCGTCAAGGAGAAGGATCAAGGCAGCCGCCGCCTGCTATTCCAGAAGTTGAGGAGGAAGATGAGGAAGAAGATGATGAGGGAGAGGATCCCTGCGGCTCATATTTCAGATTTCGTGGCTCCACCTATTCCCTCTTCAAAATTATAAACTACTTGAAACAAGATGTTGGATACTATGCAGCATGCAAGAAAGAAGTCGAGAAGGCAGGATTCGGAGGCCTATTGGACCTTCGCATGCCGAAGATACCCAATGTCTTCATGGACGACTTGATGGCTGCTTATGACTCCTCATCCAGTTATTTTGTTTTTGGGGAAGGAGACTCGAAGAAGGTCTTCGACTTCACAGCTGAGGATGAGGCACGTGTGTACGACCTTCCTCTTGGTGGGGCTGTGATTGATTTGAAGAACGTTGAGGGGGGATGCTCGATAGTTTCAGCGAGGAAGTTGGCATGATTCCTAACAAGGCTCGCATGGTTCCTATCAAGAAGCTGCGGGAGTTGGCCATTCCAGCCAACAGTCCTAGACCACCTGTTGCAATTGCTGTCAAGCAATTTTTGTTGCTAGCTACTGGTTCGATACTCTTGCCAACATTTTCTCGGAGGTGCAAGCTGGACTTTGCTCCATACCTAGGTAGGAGTGTTGAGGACGTGAGGGTGTACGATTGGTGTACATTTATTGTCCGTGAACTGAAAGTAGAGTTGACTGTTGCCAAGAAAAAAGAACATAGTGCAAAGGCGTTGGGCTCGCCGTGCGTGTGGTTCTCGGAGATTGCTACTTCTTGATAGTAAGTCCTAACCTTTTCTATAATTGTTGGTTCAATTGCATGAAAACTAGTGAATTTCGTATTTGGGTATCATCTAACAGAACTCGGATACTCTTTGTTTTGTAAGAAATTAGCTTGAAATGATTTCTGGATATCCGTTTAGTCACATAAGATACTGTTTGTGTTGACTCTTGACATTTGTTGATTAAATTGCTAGAAATGGAGCTTAACATTTATTAATTGTAATTTTTTTTTACAGCTCCATCTGCTGGACCCTCTAAAACTAGGCGGGTTGCACACAAAGACCATACCTAGCTGCCGGTTTTGGTGGAAGCAAAGTGTCGAGAGGGCAAGCACATCTATCCCCTTAGTCAGGGGAAGATATGACCTAGCTGCCGCTCTGCTGAGTAGGGAAGAAATCGCCTCTCGCAGGCAGCTCCAGTCGGCGGCTATTGAGTGTACTAGTGCAGCAACTGCGAGCAGTTTAGCTCCTCCTCCAGATCGTGCACCGTTGCCATGTTGGAATGGCTTTGGATATTAGTCGGATTTTAGTTTGTTGTTCTTGAATATTTGTTGGTTTCATTTGGATATCAACTTGTGGTTTCCTTTCAGTTATGAATACTGGTTTGTGAGGTTTGGATATTAATTTTATGCATTTGGATATTTCTGTGAAATCAATGTTTGTTATTTTTGGATATCAATTCTGCCAACTTGAATATTTGTACGCTCTCTTCTGATACTAGTCTGGGTACATGGGATAATTGTACGAGCAGTTTGGATATAGTTTTTAATTTGCGCAAAATGTTCGTTTGTCTTCCAGCTTAAGGTACTAGGTGCCGGGATTGACCGGCATATGGGAAAATTGTTGGACTTTGCAACAAAACTGGGACATATGATAGAAAAGAGGGAAGAGCATGACAGGTTCAAGGTCGTGGATTCCAGGAGGAGACATTTGGAGAATACTGTTGAGGAGGTGCTAGAGCAGCTTAAAACAGAGGTTGTGGAAGACCAAGTGGAGAATATTGAAGCTAAAATGGAAATGGATGAGCAGCCTCTAGAGAAGGACCAGGTCGAGCCACAAGTGGAGACAACTGGAGAGAAATGTGAAGATCCTGAAGAGAAGAATAAATTTGAGGTGGTGGAGAATGAAGCTGAGAAGACTGTAGAGACACCGGACGAGGAGGTGTTTGAGCCGACAGTCCCTATGGTGATACACTATACAGTCCCAGATACCTCTTTTGAGGACATTTTGCAGATAGCTCATGAGGCTACTAGCGCTGCTAATGCCGAGGAAGAAGACCCACCTACAGATGTGGTGGAGTCGTTCTCTCAACTTGCAGAGATGGGAATGTTGCCTACATACGAGGAGTTGGTAGAAGCGGCTTGTAAGAGTGCTGAGAGGAGTCCAGATGTGATTATCACGCATGAGAGGAATATGACTGACGAGGAGACAGACCGTCTGTACAGCTACACACCTGAGGAATGGCTTGCAACACTAAAGACCCCAGAGTTCGAGAGATCGAAGAAGAACCCATATGCTTCTTCATCGTTATATTATAAATCGAAGGATGTGTGGACAAAGCTCGACCCAGTTGCTCGTCGTATGGTTGAGTTCGTCTTCAGTAACCCTGAGGGTAAGGGCTTGGTGGTGCACACTCCTTCAGTTAAACTCGCCCGTCTTCATCTGTTGACATTGAAGCGATTAGAGTGGGTCAATCTACAAGTGGTTGAGGCTTATTGTAATTTCTTGAACGATAAAGCACTTGCTGGTGACAAGAACAGAGTTATCTTTCCGTTCACTTTTGGTATAAGTAGGCTCTTCACTCACACCTTACAATTTTTAGATATCCAGTAACTAATTATCTATTATTTTCCTTTGCAAACAGCAACTTGCCATACTTAATTCTCAGACGAATGTGCCCCCGTCCATGGATAGACTCAATGCGGTCATTGAACTGACCCAGCGGGTTCAAGTCTTCAAACATGTTGTATGGGACAAATTAGAATATGTAAGTGAATGCTTATTCTATCTTGATACGTATCGAGATAGAATAAGGATTCACTTACATATTCTACTTTGTCCCATACAACATGTTTGAAGACTGGAAACCGTTGGGTCAGTTCAATGACCGCATCGAGGTTCTCCTTGGATGGGGCACATTCGTCTGAGAATTAAGTAGGGCAAGTTGCTGTTTGCAAAGTAAAATAATAGCTAATTAGTTACTGAATATCTAAAAATTGTAAGGTGTGAGTGAAGAACCTACTTACACCAAAAGTGAACGGAAAGATAACTCTGTTCTTGTCACCAGCAAGTGCTTTATCGTTCAAGAAATTACCATAAGCCTTAACCACTTGTAGATTGACCTACTCTAATCGCTTCAATGTCAACAGATGAAGACGGGCGAGTTTAACTGAAGGAGTGTGCACCACCAAGCCCTTACCCTCAGGGTTACTGAAGACGAACTCAACCATACGACGAGCAACTGGGTCGAGCTTTGTCGACACATCCTTCGACAAATAATATAACGATGAAGAAGCATATGAGTTCTTCTTTGATCTCTCGAACTCTGGGGTCTTTAGTGTTGCAAGCCATTCCTCAGGTGTGTAGCTGTACAGACGGTCTGTCTCCTCGTCAGTCATATTCCTCTCATGCGTGATAATCACATCTGGACTCCTCTCAGCGCTCTTACAAGCCGCTTCTACCAACTCCTCGTCTGTAGGCAACATTCCCATCTCTGCAAGTTGAGAGAACGACTCCACCACATCTGTAGGCGGGTCTTCTTCCTCGGCATTAGCAGCGCTAGTAGTCTCATGAGCTATCTGCAAAATGTCCTCAAAAGAGGTAGTTGGGACTGTATAGTGTATCACCATAGGGACTGTCGGCTCAAACACTAACCCTTTAGCTAATTAAAGTTTGAAGCAGCTTTTGCAACTACTAACTGCTCATGCGAATATAAATGAAGGGAAGAGGAGCTTGCGTTCTCTTCTTCCTTCAACTGTCGGAAGGAATCCAGCAGTTCAAAATCCTCTTGTCGATGTTGCTACTGCTTACCCTCCCTCGTTGAAGATGAAAATTGCATACTCACAGTATCTCAGAAACCTGCATCATCCGGGGACATTGAATTTCAGTCATAAAGAAAGACATCTAAATACCAAACTTCAGTGTACTATTCCTGAGAAGGATTTGTTCCATAAGTGGTTCAAAGTAATGCAGGACACAGCTTACATTTATAGGCATTTCAGCAATGAGTAGGCCACAACTTTCCTCCACATTCTTCAAGGTCACAACTTCCCCACCGGCAACCACGTTGATAACAATCCCATCTGCAGATAGAGCGCGTAAGCGTGGCGTTAGAAAAAAGACCTTCATGTAATGTTGAAAAGCTGCCGCAACATCCCAAAGAAAACAAACCTGCAGCTAACATGTGCTCACTCGTCTCATGTACATTTCCTGCATGTAAGTAGAAACCATGATAAGAAATCTGATGAAGATCATTTGGTTTTTTATGCTAACAGATACGAGCAAATATCACATTGTTCTACCGGCAACCAAAGTAAGCAGAAGTTGCATAACGGCTGCCACATGTACAGGAAACAAGGTTGATCATTTGCTCGGATAACAATTGCTTCAAGAACTAGCGATCCACTATTATTCTCACACAATGACAAAAGAGAAAGGGTAAAGGCAGAAATCAAGCTAGAAGAGGCTTAATTGCGTTTCATTCGCTTTGTCTGATTCTAGAAAAACAGTCATGCAAATCAAATGGATATGCCAACTGGAGGCAAAAAGAAAACCCATCGCTAATAGATGATGCAATGCACATGATCTTCAGTCGACAGAGATAGGCTTTACACCGTTTACACGAACAGCAACGATTGGTAGCTCATCAGGAGAAAAATACCTTCTTCGTTGGTAGCTCGTAGTTGATCAGGATACGAGCAGCGATAGATGATTCGCCACTGAGAACTCCCGGAAGGCAAGCATCCGTTACAACTATCATCTGGGACTTGTTCTCATTGTTCTGATTCTCACCATCGTCCCCGAACTGAACACTAGTCATAGCACTCTCAGCCCATTTGATGGTCGCTTGCCTAAATGTCTCCAAGACTAGGGTTCTTTCTGACTCAGCTAGGTCGCTGTACTGGCCATGGTTTACAACAGATGTTTTTAAACCATTGTAACTCAAATTCAAGCTAAATCGACATTCTCAAAGCCAGTGGTAGCACTTGCACGGGGAATTAAGGAAATGAGCAGTGGGTACCAGAGACGCAAGAGAGATGTCAGGGAGGTTGGAGACTGCAGAGCATACAGCATCGAGTTCGTCCCTCGAGCTGCAGCAAACCGCCATTGGAATTCCAGAGCGGCGGCCGGCTACACCTAGCAAATCTACCAGCATCTCCTGCTCGG